ACGGTTCACTACTCACGACGATGTTTTTGGTACCTTTTTTCACCGGAAAGGACCCGTAAAGTGATAATGATTATCATCTACATATCACAACGTGCGTGGAGGCCATCAAACCACGTCAAATAATCAATTATGACGCAGGTATCGTATTAATTGATCTGCATCAACTTAACGTAAAAACAACTTCAGACAATACAAATCAGCGACACTGAATACGGGGCAACCTCATGTCAACGAAGAACAGAACCCGCAGAACAACAACCCGCAACATCCGCTTTCCTAACCAAATGATTGAACAAATTAACATCGCTCTTGAGCAAAAAGGGTCCGGGAATTTCTCAGCCTGGGTCATTGAAGCCTGCCGTCGGAGACTAACGTCAGAAAAGAGAGCATATACATCAATTAAAAGTGATGAAGAATGAACATCCCGCGTTCTTCCCTCCGAACAGGACGATATTGTAAATTCACTTAATTACGAGGGCATTGCAGTAATTGAGTTGCAGTTTTACCACTTTCCTGACAGTGACAGACTGCGTGTTGGCTCTGTCACAGACTAAATAGTTTGAATGATTAGCAGTTATGGTGATCAGTCAACCACCAGGGAATAATCCTTCATATTATTATCGTGCTTCACCAACGCTGCCTCAATTGCTCTGAATGCTTCCAGAGACACCTTATGTTCTATACATGCAATTACAACATCAGGGTAACTCATAGAAATGGTGCTATTAAGCATATTTTTTACACGAATCAGATCCACGGAGGGATCATCAGCAGATTGTTCTTTATTCATTTTGTCGCTCCATGCGCTTGCTCTTCATCTAGCGGTTAAAATATTACTTCAAATCTTTCTGTATGAAGATTTGAGCACGTTAACCTTACATACATCTGTCGGTTGTATTTCCCTCCAGTTAAATTCTCAAGAAACACGCATCTTATAGAAACGTCCTATGATAGGTTGAAATCAAGAGAAATCACATTTCAGCAATACAGGGAAAATCTTGCTAAAGCAGGAGTTTTCCGATGGGTTACAAATATCCATGAACATAAAAGATATTACTATACCTTTGATAATTCATTACTATTTACTGAGAGCATTCAGAACACTACACAAATCTTTCCACGCTAAATCATAACGTCCGGTTTCTTCCGTGTCAGCACCGGGGCGTTGGCATAATGCAATACGTGTACGCGCTAAACCCTGTGTGCATCGTTTTAATTATTCCCGGACACTCCCGCAGAGAAGTTCCCCGTCAGGGCTGTGGACATAGTTAATCCGGGAATACAATGACGATTCATCGCACCTGACATACATTAATAAATATTAACAATATGAAATTTCAACTCATTGTTTAGGGTTTGTTTAATTTTCTACACATACGATTCTGCGAACTTCAAAAAGCATCGGGAATAACACCATGAAAAAAATGCTACTCGCTACTGCGCTGGCCCTGCTTATTACAGGATGTGCTCAACAGACGTTTACTGTTCAAAACAAACCGGCAGCAGTAGCACCAAAGGAAACCATCACCCATCATTTCTTCGTTTCTGGAATTGGGCAGAAGAAAACTGTCGATGCAGCCAAAATTTGTGGCGGCGCAGAAAATGTTGTTAAAACAGAAACCCAGCAAACATTCGTAAATGGATTGCTCGGTTTTATTACTTTAGGCATTTATACTCCGCTGGAAGCGCGTGTGTATTGCTCACAATAATTGCATGAGTTGCCCATCGATATGGGCAACTCTATCTGCACTGCTCATTAATATACTTCTGGGTTCCTTCCAGTTGTTTTTGCATAGTGATCAGCCTCTCTCTGAGGGTGAAATAATCCCGTTCAGCGGTGTCTGCCAGTCGGGGGAGGCTGCATTATCCACGCCGGAGGCGGTGGTGGCTTCACGCACTGACTGACAGACTGCTTTGATGTGCAACCGACGACGACCAGCGGCAACATCATCACGCAGAGCATCATTTTCAGCTTTAGCATCAGCTAACTCCTTCGTGTATTTTGCATCGAGCGCAGCAACATCACGCTGACGCATCTGCATGTCAGTAATTGCCGCGTTCGCCAGCTTCAGTTCTCTGGCATTTTTGTCGCGCTGGGCTTTGTAGGTAATGGCGTTATCACGGTAATGATTAACAGCCCATGACAGGCAGACGATGATGCAGATAACCAGAGCGGAGATAATCGCGGTGACTCTGCTCATACATCAATCTCTCTGACCGTTCCGCCCGCTTCTTTGAATTTTGCAATCAGGCTGTCAGCCTTATGCTCGAACTGACCATAACCAGCGCCCGGCAGTGAAGCCCAGATATTGCTGCAACGGTCGATTGCCTGACGGATATCACCACGATCAATCATAGGTAAAGCGCCACGCTCCTTAATCTGCTGCAATGCCACAGCGTCCTGACTTTTCGGAGAGAAGTCTTTCAGGCCAAGCTGCTTGCGGTAGGCATCCCACCAACGGGAAAGAAGCTGGTAGCGTCCGGCGCCTGTTGATTTGAGTTTTGGGTTTAGCGTGACAAGTTTGCGAGGGTGATCGGAGTAATCAGTAAATAGCTCTCCGCCTACAATGACGTCATAACCATGATTTCTGGTTTTCTGACGTCCGTTATCAGTTCCCTCCGACCACGCCAGCATATCGAGGAACGCCTTACGTTGATTATTGATTTCTACCATCTTCTACTCCGGCTTTTTTAGCAGCGAAGCGTTTGATAAGCGAACCAATCGAGTCAGTACCGATGTAGCCGATAAACACGCTCGTTATATAAGCGAGATTGCTACTTAGTCCGGCGAAGTCGAGAAGGTCACGAATGAACTAGGCGATAATGGCGCACATCGTTGCGTCGATTACTGTTTTTGTAAACGCACCGCCATTATATCTGCCGCGAAGGTACGCCATTGCAAACGCAAGGATTGCCCCGATGCCTTGTTCCTTTGCCGCGAGAATGGCGGCCAACAGGTCATGTTTTTCTGGCATCTTCATGTCTTACCCCCAATAAGGGGATTTGCTCTATTTAATTAGGAATAAGGTCGATTACTGATAGAACAAATCCAGGCTACTGTGTTTAGTAATCAGATTTGTTCGTGACCGATATGCACGGGCAAAACGGCAGGAGGTTGTTAGCGCAAAAAAAAATTCCAAAAAAAAAATTCCAAAAAAAAAAAAGCGACTAACAAACACAATCTGAACTCTTCCTCCCCCCTCTCCCTCTCTATCTACCTATCTCTCTCTACCTTTCCTTCTCTCCCTCTCTACATCTCTTTCTCTCTCCATCTTTCACTCTCTCCTCTTAATATTTATATGTCTTTATCTCCCCCTCTTCGACTCTCTTGCTTTTCCTCTCTCTCCTCTCTCTTTGATTCCCCTCTCACTCTCCTTCCCAATTTCCATCTCTCTCTTGCCTCACTATTTCTCTTCCTTACTTTCTCCTTCATTTTCTTCAATCTCTCTATCTCCCCTCTCGTCACCCTCTTTCCCGCTTTCTCTCCCCCTTGCTCTCTATCTCCCTCTCACTCTCTCTTCCAATCTCTTCCTCAGTCTCTCTCCTCTCTCTCCCTCCCTCTTTCCCTTTTTCACTTTCTCTCTTCATTTCTCCCTCTTTCTATCTCTCCCTCTCTCTCCCTCTCTCTTTCTCTCCCTCCCTCTCCCACTCTCTCCCCTTTTCTCCCTCTCTCTCTTTCTCTACCCTTCTCACCCCCTCACTCTCTCCCTATCTCTCTACGTCTCTCCCCTTCTCTCTCCTCATTTTCTCTTTCTTACTCTCTTTTTCTCCTTCTCTCCTTCTCTCTCCTTTTCTACTCTCTCCCTCTCTCTATCTCTCTCCCTCTTTCTTTATCCCCCTCCCACCCTCACTTTCCCTCTCCTTCTCTCTCACACTATCTTTATCTCCTTCCCTTTCTCTCCATCTCTATCTCTCTTTTTCCTCTCTCTTTCTTTCTCTCTCTCTCATGATCTTACTCCCTCTCTCTCCCTTTGTTCCCGTCCCTCTACCTCTTCTTTTTCTCTCTCTCCCTATCTCCCTCCCTCTTTTTCTCCCTGTCTTTCCCTCTCCCTCATCCTCCTTCTCCCTCACTTTCTCTCCCTCCCTATCGCCCTCCCACTCTTTCTCTCCCTCTCTATCTCTCTCCTCTTTCTCTCCCTTTTTATCTTCCTTTCTCTCCTTCTCACTCCCTCTCTTTCTCCTTCTCTCTCTCTCTCCCTCCCTCTCCTTATTACTCTCCCTCTCTTGCTTTCTCCCTCTCTCCCTCTCCCTACCTTCCTCTCTCCCTCTCTTTTTCTCCATCTTACCCCCTCTCTCCCTCTTCCTCTCCCCTCTCTCCCTCTCTCCCTCTTTCTCCCTCTCCTTCTCTCTCCATCTCCCTCTCTCTGTCCATCCATCCCTCTCCCTCTTTTAATCTCTCCCTCTCCTTCTCTCCTTCTTTCTCTCTATGTTGCTCTCTTTTTCTCTCTCTCTTCATATATATATATATATACATGCACACACATTGATACACAAGCACACAAACACATACATATATGAATTTATGAATGTATGTATGTACATACGTGTGTATATATATATACACCTCTTTCTCTAGCTCTCCCTCTCTCACCTTCTCTCTAACTCTATCTCTCTCTCTCTCACTTGCTCTCTCTCTTTCCTTATTTCTATCTCTCTCTTGCCCTCTCTCCCTTTTGCTTTCTCCCTCCCTTTCCTATTCTCTCTCCCACTCTCTTCCTCTCTATCTCTTCTTCTCTCACCAGGTCTCTCCCTCTCCATCTATCTCTCCCTCTATTTCTCTGTCTCTCTTCACTTCCCTTCTCTCTCCCCCTCTCTCTCCCTCTTTCTTTCTTTTCTCTTTCTTACTCTCTCCATTTCACCTGTTTCCTCTCTAACTCTCTCCCCATCTCTCACTTCCTCCCTCTCTCCATCTTCTCCTCTCTCTCTCTTCCCTCCATCCCTCACTCTTCCTCCCTTTCTCTTTCACTCCCTTCTCTTTCTCTACCTTTCTATTCCTCTCCCTCTCTCTCCCCCTCTCTATTCTACCTTTCTATTCCTCTCTCTCTCTCCCCCTCTTTATTAATCATTTTCTCACTCCCTATCTCTCCTTCGTCTCCTTCTAAATTTCAATGTCACTCTCTATCCCTCTCTCATTTTTCTCTCTCCCCTTTGTCTCACATTCTTTCCCTCTTTCTCTCCCTTCCTCTCTTTCTCCCCCTCTCCGTTATTCTTTATCCCTCTCTCCCTTTCTCCCTCTCTTTCTCTTCTCCTTCTCTTCCCCTCATTCTCTATCCCTCTCTCTCTCCCTCATACTTTCCCTTTCCCTCCCTCTCGACCTCCCTCCTTCTCCCTCCCTGTCTCCTTCTACCACTCTCCTTTCCCTCTCTTTCTCCTTCTCTCTCTCTCTCTCTCCATCTATTTCTCACACTCTTCCTCTCTCGCCTTCTCTCTTTCTCTTCCTTTCTTTCTCTATTCCTCTCTCCCTCTCTTAGTCTTTCCATCTTTCTCCCTCTATCTCTCCCTCATTTTCCCTCCCTCTCCCACTCTCTCCCTCTATCTCCCTTTGTCTATCTCCCTTCCTCTCTATTTCTCTTCCTCCCTCTTTCTCTCTCCCTTCCTCTCTATTTCTCTTCCTCCCTCTTTCTCTCTCCCTCCTCTCTATTTCTCTTCCTCCCTCTTTCTCTCTCCCTCCTCTCTATTTCTCTTCCTCCCTCTTCTCTCTCCCTCTCCTTCTCTTCCTCCTTCTCTTCTCCTCTCTCTCTTATGCCTCTCTCTTATTCTCTCCCTCTCCCTCTCCTCTCCCTCTCCCTCTCTCCATCTCTCACCATTTCTCTCTCTTCTCTCTCCCTCTCTCTTCCTCTTTCCCTCTCTCTCCCTCTTCCCTCTCTCAACCTCCCTCCCTCTCCCTCTCTCACACTCTCTCTCACTCACTCAGTAACTCTATCTTCCCTCCATCCTTCTCTTTCTCTCCTTCTCTCTCCATCTTCCTTATCTCTCTCTCACTCCTTCTCTTGCTCCTTATTCCTCCTTCTCACTCCCTTCCTCTCTTTCCCTCCCTCCTCTCCCTCTCTATCTCTCTATCCCCTATTTTTATCTCTCTCTTTTTATCTCTCCTTACTCTCACTTCCTCTCTCCTCCTCCCTTTCTCTTCCTCTCTTGCTCCATTTCTTGCTCTCCCTCTCTCTACCCCTCTCTTTGCCCCTCTCTCCCTCTATACCTCGCTCCCTCTCTCCCTCTATATCTCACTCCCTCTACCCCTCTCTCTTTCCCCTTCTCACTCTCCCTCCCTCTCTATCCCACCCCCTCTCTCCCTCTTCATGTCTCTCTCTATCTCTCTCCCTCTCTATCATTTTTTATCCCACTCTCTCTTCCTTTCTCGCTCTCCCAATCCCTCTTTAAATCCCTCTCTCTATTCCTCTCTCTTCCTCTCTCCTCTCCTTTGATCTCTCGTATCTCCTCTGTCTCTCCTCTCCTTCTCTCTGCCTCTCCCTCCCTCACTATCTCCCTCGTTCTCCCTCTCTTTCTTTTTCTTTATCTCTTTCTTTCATTCTTTATCTTTCTCACTCCCTCTCCCTCTCCCACTCTCTCCCTCTTTTCACTCCCTCCCTCCCTCTCCTCCCCACTATATGTCCCACTATTTTCCTCTTTCTCACATGTTCTCACCCTCTCCCTATCTCCCTCTATCTTCTGCTCTTGTGTCTCTCTCTTTCTTCCTTTACCTCTCCTATACCCTTTCTCCCACTCTATCCCTCTTTATCTCTCCCTCTCTTCCACTCTTTCTTTCTCTCTCTCTCTTCTCTCTAACTCTTTTTTCATC